CGTGTACCAATGCTCGTACGCACACTGTCTCATTTTTAGCAAGCATAGCGCTCAACAGGGAGCCGGCCGCCCGCGTTTCGCACACTGCGAGGGAGACTGCAAAGTTGGACGTGTATTTTCGTGCAAAGTTGAGAACAAATTTTTACATGAGTACACATTTTATAAATACTGAATCTTAATACGGGAATGTTGTCCCACATAGTCACGAATCTAGTATCAATGCTAGTTCTGGACGATAAAAGTACTTGGTGTGTGCTCACGTGTTAAAATTTTTAATCCCACCCCATAAAAAACCTAAAGTTTTTTTTTTCTAAATTAGCGATTTTGAAATGAGCGCAAACCGGGCGAAACACTTGATGTGCCGCGTCGCCCCAGGACCACAGCCAGCCGAGAGCTGAATCAGTCGGAATCAGCACACAGACAATGGCCCAGTGTGCGCGCAGCCCGCTGTCACGCCCTGCGAGAGCAAGCGAGACGGACAAGCTGAGCCAGATAAAGCCCCGGAGAGAGAGGGAGAGAGAGAGTGGGAGAGAGAGAGAGGGAGGGAGAGAGAGAGAGAGAGAGAGAGAGGGAGAGAGAGAGGAGAGAGAGAGAGAGAGAGAGAGAGAGAGAGAGGCCATCGATTTCCGGTTGCTGATTAATTCACAGAGAGGGGCACAATTTGCGTCCCTTTAAACACCACCACGGAGGCTGCGGTACAGGACCGATGCAAGCGCTTCCCGAAAAGCATGCTCCACATTTACGCGCTCCGCAACGGAAAGCGACGCGGAATCAAATTTAACGAGCCACTGGACGAAAACCCTATCGCGGCCCCGGTCGTCCGGCCGGCCGGGTCGGACGGGCGCACACTGTCAAAAATTGAAATTCCGCTAATGCTATGGAAGGTCGTCGATGATTTCCCCACGGAGGCTCTCCTCTCCAGCAGCTTCCAGCACACTGTCGCTCTGTCTCTCTCGCACTCATGGGGCGGACCGTGTAGGCCGTGTGGGTGCGAGAGAGACAGAGCGACGAGAACGAGTCTCAGTCTGCAGCCCGACTGGATTGTACCCCACTTCCCTATTGTGCCCGGCCGGCGTGGCGGGGCGGGGCGGGCCGACATGGCAACTGTTTTAGGCGTCGATAGCGACGCACTTTGAATCGTAAGAATGCCTCACTCATTACCACGTGGTACGGTGCAGCCTTTGATTTACTCGCGCGAAACGCGCTGGGGCGTTTTCTCCCTGTGTGCGTGATTGAATGTGTGCGTGTGTGTGGATGTGCGGTGTGAGTGTGTGAACTCTCGTAAATCTCTTCACTGCTCACTGCTTTTTTTCTGCTTTTATTTCTATTTTGTCTTTTTCTTACTTTGACTTTTGCTTGAACTTCATTGGACTTCCCTCTAGTTTCCTTCAGATTAATTTTGTATTATCTTCATTTCCTTTATGTTGAGAATTTGACTTTTCTCCGACTTTTTGCCCGGCCAAAACTCCAGACGCGTTTTGAGCTCCGGAGTCGCGAAACACGACTCGAACCGAACGTGTGACCCCACCAATGGATTCCTCGTTCGAAGAGCAATCCATTGGTGGGGTCACACGTTCGGTTCGAGTCCCGTTTAGCGATTCTGGAGCTCAAAACGCGTCTAGAGAGTTTTGCCCGCCTCCACCGATCTTCTGGCCCACTGTGCGGCGTCCGCTGATTTTCCAACTGGCCCGCTCCAGCCATCAGTCACTGGAGTCGCCCGTTCCAGGCCGTTCCAGGCCGTTCCAGGCTGTTCACACCGCGGCCGTGCTCCAACTCGCAACAATCTGGAGCCCTTCCTAATGGCGGATGGAGTTTGGCGCATTAGTTTCGATCCAAGTAATTCCAAAACAACGCTCGCCCCGCATCGTGGCCCCTCCGGTGCGCCGCCGGCGCCGCCCCACAGCGTATTTGCCAGAGGACCGGTGGAGGCGGTCAAAACCCCGGTCGCGTTTTGGGCTCCAGAGTCGCAAAACAGGACTCGAACCGAACGTGTGACCCCACCAATGGATTGCTCTCCGAACGAGGAATCCATTGTTGGGGTCACACGTTCGGTTCGAGGAGCTGTAGGAGGATCAGGTTGCAGGGGGTTTCTTCCAGGAGAAAAGAGTAAAAACCGCTGGGAATAAGAAGGGCGGGTGAAACTTACATGAGGTAAACACGGCGGCATTCAGGGCGCATTCGCCAGTTGTTTGCCCACAGTTTGGTCCGCAGTACCGCCACGCCACGCACAGTGGGCCAGAAGACCGGTGGAGGCGGCCAAAACTCTACACGCGTTTTGAGCTCCAGAGTCGCTAAACGGGACTCGAAACCGAACGTGTGACAATGTCCTCGTTGACCTCGTGTCACGAAGTGATGCTTCAACATTTTACAGTGTGGCTGCGTTGAGGTTAGGCGAGCCACTGTGCGGCCAAGCCGCGGGCCTGGCCAGGGCTTATTGATGGCACGCCTATCGGGCCGAATGCCCCAGAGACTCCACCTGGAGGGAGGGCAGACGGCCCACAGTGGGCCAGAAAACCGGTGCAGGCGGCCAAAACTCTAGACGCGTTTTGAGCTCCAGAGTGGCTAAAACCGAACGTGTGACCCCACCAATGGATTGCTCTCCGAACGAGGAACCCATTGGTGGGGTCACACGGTCCGTTCGAGTCCCATTTAGCGACTCAGCAGCTCAAAACGCGTCCAGAGTTTTGGCCGCCCCCACCGGTCTTCTGGCCCACTGTGCGGCCCACCGGCCGAACGGCCAGGGCGGCCAGGGCTCGTGGGAACCAATTAGACGATTGATAAGAGCTCAGGTGGAAAGTGTAGGAGCCCGGCAGCACACTGTGGCAGCGCGGCCGGGCGCGGCGCTGTGAGCCCAGTCACTCCGTCTCTCTCGCACCTACACGGGACGCCCCATGAGTGCGAGAGAGACAGGCCGTCGGTTTGGGTAATTAGAAGGCCGGGGGGAAAAGGAGAAAGGGATCCGCCCTCGGTGGGGCTCGAACCTCGAACAACCCGGCCGTCTCTCATCTGGGCGCGCTTGTGCTTCCGCGGCGGAAGGAAAAATAAAAAAGGGATGAAAAGGGAAGGGCATTTTCTGGGGACAATGGTACGGCCGGTCACTTGAAGCCCTTTCAATACTTACTAGCCCTGCAGCCCCTGCCCCAAGGGCTTTGAGGCAGGGGCTGCAACCACCACCACCACCACGAGAACCACAACAACCACAACAACGACCAACATCAGAATCTACAACAACGACCACCACCACCATCAAGAAATCAACATCATTAACTTCACCACGACCACCACCACCATCAAAAAATCAACGTCATTAACTTCGCCACGACCCCCACCACCATCAAAAAATCAACAACAACCATACCACCACCACCAATATCAACAAATCAACATCAACACCTACAACCACCACCACCATCAACAACAACACTACCATACCACAGGGAAGCGCCTCCGCGCCTGTTGCAAGACAAAGACGTTTGCACCCATACCACACTGTAGAATTCTGTCTCCCTCGAGTGTTGGTGCCTGTGAGTGAGTGAGTGTGTTGTGTGTGTGCCCTTCATTAGGCTCAGGTCCGCACCGCATTTGCTATTCCCGAGACGATAACTCGGCCAATGCAATTTCAGTGTCCGATTGAAAACAAGGGCGACCAGGTGTGCTAATTAAAACGAAGCCTGCTTCACAAGGATTTTTGAATCGATGAATCGATTCCCCTTCTCTCTCTCTCTCTCTCTCTCTCTCTCTCTCTCTCTCTCTCTCTCTCTCTCTCTCTCTCTCTCTTTCGGCCACAAAGCCGCAAGCCGCACCCCATAACTAGATTTAAAACTCGTCTCTTTTCCCGATTTTTTTTCATCCCTGCCGCGCGCTTGCGTGTTCGATCCATCCGCGATACTGCGACCCCCTATACTGTAAAACCTTTCCCAAATTTCCCTGAAGCCGAGCGAATCCGAAAGGACCCTTCCCTGTCTCCCTCGCACCGCTTGGAGACGCCCCGTGAGTGCGAGAGGGACAGCGCGACGCCACGGCTCGGCTGCTCAGTCGAGTGGACGAGATAGCCGGTCGGGTCGGCGCTTCGCTTAGCAGTGCAGCGCCTCGGTGTCACTTCATCGACCAGCTTCATCAACGCCAAACGCCGTGCCGGTACAGTGGGCCAGACGACCGGAGGCGGCCGAAACTCCACACGCGTTTTGAGCTCCACAGTCGCTAAATGGGACTCGAACCGAACGTGTGACCCCACCAATGGATTGCTTAGCACTGCAGACCAGCTGGTCTGAGAGTCGTTTTCGTCACCCCGTCTCTCTCGCACCTACACGGGACGCGCCGTGAGTGCGAGAGAGACAGAGCCTTCTTGGAGAGCCTGTTCCCCAGCCGCCCAGCCCCGTTCAGTTAGCTTGTGTTTTGAGCCCCGCCGCGCCACTCGAAAGGCCGCGCGTTTAGATCACCCAATCAATAAATCGGAGGCTAATTTGACGCGTAGGCGGGCCCTACAGTGTAATGGAGGCCCGATGGCATCGCCCGGCATCGCCCCATTCGACCGGCCTCGGCCCCACGGCAGAGCGCGGCGCCCCGTTTGACCGCGCCGCGCAACGGCCGGGCTCGCTCAGCACTCTCAGCTCGCCGGCATCGCGTTCAAAGGCGCACAGTGGGCCAGAAGACCGATGGAGGCGGACGAAACTCCGGACGCGTTTTGAGCTCCAGAGTCGCTAAATGGGACTCGAACCGAACGTGTGACCCCACCAATGGATTGCTCTCCGAACGAGGAATCCATTGGTGGGGTCACACGTTCGGTTCGAGTCCCATTTAGCGACTCTGGAGCTCAAAACGCGTCTGGCGTTTTGGCCGGTGGCGCCGGTCTTCCGGCCCACTGTGAGGCGGCTGGACTTACTTATCTGGCTGCACCGGGCTGGACGGCTCGGGTCGAGGCGCAAGGCGCGCAAGGCAGAAGCGAAACGCAACAAGAACAACAACTTCTTCCTGCGCGCACCGCGCGTACCGCTGCGTACCTGGTGTCGGCGAGTCCGGCCGGCTGGACCCCGGTCTGCTGGTGCACTGCAAGGCACAAGCACACCGTCGTACTCCGGGTGGCAAAAATCCGGCACGATCCTGACGCACTAACACACGCGCACACACAGACACACAGACACACACACTGCACGGCACTGGCACGGAAGCGAGCTCGTCACACGGTGTGGCGGTCGAGCGCGGGGCGGTGAACGGGGACGCGAAGCGTGCGGCGCTGCGGCGGGCAGCGAACTGAGGAGGGTCCTCCAAAGGACTCCGCCGCGAGCCGAGCCGAGCCGAGCCGCGCCGCGGCCGAGCGCAGCCGCGCCGCGTCGGGCGGGCCGAGCCGAGCCGGACCGGAGCAAGCGAAGCCGCCGCCCCGAGGTATCTACCCCCACTCCACCCCCCAACATGACCACGCTCACACCTGTACCAGTGCCTGGCTGCCTGGCCGCCTCGCCCGGACTACAGTCCTGGAGGCCTGGACATGCCTCGGCCGCGTTTGAGACGCCGCCTGTCTTTGTCTTGCTCGGCCGGTGCCTCTGCCGGTGCCGCGGGTGCGAGAGAGACAGACGACAGAGGAGCGCACTGCGGCGCGGCCTGATGAGTGTGACCTTTCACACGCGTTGGAAACAGCGCCGCTCGTCATTTACTTCGTTTTACTTCTGCCTGACTCTCCGAAAATGTTTCGCCGCGTAACGGCGCTTCAGAGCGCCTCAAGGCGTCCAATGGGACAGAACTGGTCACCAACGGTGTCAAATGGGGCAGAGATGGTTACGAAAGGTGTCAAGTGGGGCAGAGATGGTCACTACAGGTGTCAAATGGGGCTGAGATGGTCACGAAAGGTGTCAAGTGGGTCAGAGATGATCACTACAGGTGTCAAATGGGGCAGAGCTGGTTACGAAAGGTGTCAAGTGGGGCAGAGATGGTCACTACAGGTGTCAAATGGGGCAGAGATGGTCACTACAGGTGTCAAATGGGGCTGAGATGGTCACGAAAGGTGTCAAGTGGGTCAGAGATGATCACTACAGGTGTCAAATGGGGCAGAGCTGGTTACGAAAGGTGTCAAGTGGGGCAGAGATGGTCACTACAGGTGTCAAATGGGGCAGAGATGGTCACTACAGGTGTCAAATGGGGCTGAGATGGTCACGAAAGGTGTCAAGTGGGTCAGAGATGATCACTACAGGTGTCAAATGGGGCAGAGCTGGTTACGAAAGGTGTCAGGTGGGGCAGAGATGGTCACTACAGGTGTCAAGTGGGGCAGAGATGGTCACTGTTCGGTTCGAGCCCTGTTAAGCGACTCTGGAGCTCAAAACGCGTCTAGAGTTTTGGGCGCATCCGCACTGTGCGGCGTTGCCCGGGCGGGGCGATGGCGAGCGTGCGTGAGGCGTTTGCTTGTCGATGGCGGTCGTGATAGGCCGGCGCGTTCCTCGATGGCCTCTCATTGGCCGGGCTGGCCGCTCCAGATACCCAAAAACCCAAAAACTCGAACGGGAACGTCCATTAATAACTTGGTCCGCGCGCGACCGCTCATAACCTCAAATTATTCAATATCTGGCCTTGGCGTCGCTCCCCTCCGCGCCGGCAAGCTCGCAGTGACCACGCTCCGCTCTCGACGTCTCTCGACTGCCAGCCCAGCCGAGGGTGCCTGCCTCTGTCTCTCTCGCACCCATGGGGCGTGCCGCGAGGACCGCAAGGGAGCGAGAGAGACAGAGCGACGAAAGCAGTGCCCAGTCTGCAGGTCTGCCTCGGCCTCGGCCACCACTCCCCGCCACAACAAGATCCGTACCTTTGAAGTCGCCGCGCCACGGCTGGCCACGGCCTCGGCCTCGGCCGCCCTCATCAAGAGCTTGACTCCAAACGAAAGTATTCTCCCCATCATCCTCTCGGCTAGCCTCCTTGCAGGACTTCTCGGGCTTCTCCTGCTGCAGATTTCGCTGCAGACTGATTCCGAGGGCCGGCTTCGTCGCACAGTGGACCAGAGGACCGGTGGAGGCGGCCAAAACTCTAGACACGTTTTGAGCTCCAGAGCCGCTAAATGCGGAACTCGAACCGAACGTGTGACCCCACCAATGGATTCCTCGTTCGGAGAGCAATCCATTGGTGGGGTCACACGTTCGGTTCGAGTCCCATTTAGCGACTCTGGCGCTCAAAACGTGTCTAGAGTTTTGTCCGCCTCCACCGGTCTGCTGGTCCACTCGGAATCAGTCTGCAGCCGGTAGATTTCAGCAGCATCCAGGAGGCAGGCATCATCCGCGCCCCCCCTCCCCTCCGGCGGCGGCGTTTCTTTGTGTCAACGTGTACCTGCGCTGCCGCCGCCGCCGCGCTCCCCTCCGGCTCACCAAATATTTATGGCAGTGTGGGGGCATTAGGGGATTACGGGACATAATCTGGATCGGATTGACTAGGCTCTCCTTGTTCTGTCCCGGTGCGCCGGGTTTCGCTTTTAAAGAGTATAAACAGTAGCAGAGGGACAACAGTGTACTTACTAGTGCACTTACTAGTGCACTGTCGACTGTCGCCGGCCACCTGAGGCGATCCGTCTTGGAGGCAAACGTCCGAAAACTGAAAATACGCGTTCAAATAATAGCACAATTAAATATTTTTATTTTTCAAAAATACTTACGTACACTATTTTTTTAATAACTTGCGCAACTTTTGTTGCACAGAGGCTCCCCCACGATTAGCATATCACTTGCCTGGCCTGCTTGGCCTCCAGGTCGCGTAGCGCCACACTGTGAGTCGTCGCTCTGTCTCTGTCGCACCAGCGCGGGGCGCCCCGTGAGTGCGAGAGAGACAGAGCGACGAGAGCGGTGCAGGCTGGATGTGACAACGCGGACACGCTGACAAACACAATCCGCTGGCCCCGCGACTCCCCGCCCCGAAGCGGAGGCAGCACACTGATTCCGAGAGTCGTCGCTCTGTCTCTCTCGCACCCATGCGGGACGCCCCTTGAGCGCGAGAGAGACGGAGCGACGAAAGCGACTCTCGGAATCAGTGTGCAGGAAGGCAGGGGAGCGATTCGGATCTGTCTCTGTCGCACTCGCAAGGCTGGCCGTCAGGGTGCGAGAGAGACAGAGCCACCGGCGGGGGAGGCCGCCCTCGGTGTGGCCCCTTCCCTTGGTCGGGGTGGGCGGAGCGCGGGGCGGTCGGGTTGTCATAGTCAGTGACTCGACCCACCACCACTTATTGCAGTTTGATGCCGGATGATTCAATAAAAAAACAAAATGAACAGACGACGCCGCCCCTCCCTGCCACACAGTGGGCCAGAAGACCGGTGGAGGCGGACAAAACTCCAGACGCGTTTCGAGCTCCAGAGTAAAGCTCCAGCTAAATGGGACTCGAACCGAACGTGTGACCCCGCCAATGGATTGCTCTCCGAACGAAGAATCCATTGGTGGGGTCACACGTTCGGTTCCAGTTCCATTTAGCGACTCTGGAGCTCAAAACGCGTCTAGAGTTTTGGCCGCCTCCACCGGTCTTCTGGCCCACTGTGCGTCGCGCCACTCGCCTCCCTCGCGATTCCTTATCGAAAAGATTAGCCGGCCGACGGCGGGAGTCGAACCCGCGCCCGCAGATTAGCGCCAGGGGAGGCGCCACCGTTTTTGGGAGTGTGCCCCCGCGGGGGCCTTCGGAAGCCCTTGGACGGCCCTGGGGGGCAGGCTGGGCAGGCAGGCACTTTGGGGGTGATCGCCACTTGAATTTCATTCTCTCCGAGGCGAGGCTCAACCTGTAGACCGATTCCGAGAGTCGTCGCTCTGTCTCTCTCGCACCTGTACGGAGCGCCCCATGAGTGCGAGAGAGGCAGAGCGACGGAAACGACTCTCGGAATCGGTCTGCTGGCTCCGGGGATGCTCGCAGGTGCGCTGGCCGGCTGGCCCAAGGGTGGCCATAATACTGAAACGAAACGTTACAACCCCTGACCCGGCACCCCGCCCCGCCCCGCCCCGCCCCGCCACGCCCCGCCCCGCCCCGCCCCGCCGGAAGACGCTGGCCACGTTGCGCTGCGCTCACGGCCGTCCCGGCGCCCATTCCGGGACCTGGCCCCAGATTTTTCCGGGACAATGCGCGCAGGCCGCGTCGTCGCCAAGTGGGGCCGCAGCCGGTGTCGACGGGGAGGGTCAGCGCCGACGGCGTCCACAAGCCACGCCGTCCTCGACCGGCGCCGCCGGCCAAAACTCTAGACGCGTTTTTAGCTCCAGAGTCGCTAAGCAGGACTCGAACCGAACGTGTGACCCCACCAATGGATTGCTCTCCGAACGAGGAATCCATTGGTTGGGTCACACGTTCGGTTCGAGGACTATTCAGCGACTCTGGAGCTCGAAACGCGTCTAGAGTTTCGGCCGCATCCACCGGTCTTCTGGCCCACTGTGGTCCTTCAAAGTGAGAGGCCGGCGTCGCGGCGTCGCGGGATTAGAAGGCGAGCGGCTGATGGCAGTGCAGGCACACTGCAGGCACACTGCAGGCACACTGCAGGCTCCGCGGTGTGGCCGTGGATTATTCAAAGAGATGGAGGATGGCCCGCGGCGGTCTCCGGGCCGCCACGCCGCCACCGTCCCGGCCAGCCGGCCGGCGCGCGTCCCCCTTCCCCTCCCCCCTCTCCATCGCCTGTCTATTAACGAAATCCAGACACGCCGAGTCAAAGCGATCAGGCCGACTGCCGCCGAATTAGCCTCGTCGCTCTGTCTCTCTCGCACGCACGCGGGGCCTGGGGGGCGGCCCGTGAGTGCGAGCGAGACGGGACGCGGCGGGAGGACTCCCCTCCCCCTCCTCGAGGCCCGCGATATGCAACGGACGCCGCGTCCCTCAACCCTTGCTTGCTCCTTGCTCCGCGCAGTGGGCCAGAAGACCGGTGGAGGCGGCCAAAACTCTGGACGCGTTTTGAGCTCCAGGGTCGCTAATCAGGGCTCGAACCGAACGTGTGACCCCACCAATCGATTCCTCGTTCGGAGAGCACTCCATTGGTGGGGTCACACGTTCGATTCGAGTCCCATTTAGCGACTCTGGAGCTCAAAACGCGTCTAGAGTTTTGGCCGCCTGCACCGGTCTTCTGGCCCACTGTGCTCCGCCTTGCTTCGCCTTGCCTTCCCTCAAACGACCCCCAGGGAATAACAATACGGAGCTTTTTTCCGCTGCTCCGCTCTCCGCTGGCCTCCCTCGGGGCTTGCAAACTGTGGGCTGCAGGCTGCAGCCAATCAGAGGCCAGGGATTCGGTTACAAGGCGATCCCATTGCGGGCCGTGCCTGGCCGTGCCGCGAACCGCACTGCCCACACGCTCGCAAACAAGACTCATTACCCTAAACACCGAGGTGGAGCGAGAAAGAAAACACCTCTTCATTTTTACTTACAGCTGCTGTTGTTTGTTTGCCGGTTGTCGTTTTTTCTTGCCGGGAATGGTGCGAGCAACACGGAGAGACACTTTCCAATGCTCGAATTCGGTTCAGGCTGGATGTCATTTGCAGGGAGTCCCTGCTGGCGACGCACCCCGCGCAAAGCGCGCAAAGCGTGCGGAGTCAAAAGCAGGCAGGCGCACAGTGGGCCAGAAGACCGGTGGAGGCGGCCAAAACTCCAGACGCGTTTTGAGCTCCAGAGTCGCTAAATGGGACTCGAACCGAACGTGTGACCCCATCAATGAATTCCTCGTTCGGAGAGCAATCCTTTGGTGGGGTCACACGCTCGGTTCGAGTCCCATTTAGCGACTGTGGAGCTCAAAACGCGTCTAGAGTTTCGGCCGCCTCCACCGGCCTTCTGGCCCACTGTGTGCCGGGAAGCACGCTGCTGGCTATCTGCATCTTGGTGCCAGAATGTGCCGCCCATTTCGCCGTGAAGAGGAACTAATGCAAGAGAGAGGGGTCGCAGCCGGCCTGGCCGTGGGCTTGGCCTCCACCCTTCCACCCCTCGGCCTGGCCCGCTGGCCCGCCTAGCCCGCCTGGCCGTGCCTATGATTTCGAAACGATGGCCAAATCGCCACTCCGTCGCCGAGGCCGTGGAGCCGTGGAGGCCGTGGAGCCGTGGAGGCCGTGGAGGGCACGGAGAGGCGAGGCGAGGCTCACCGCAGCAGTGAAATGGCCCTGGCACCTTGGGGCACCCCTTCCCGTCGGCCGCCTAGCCAGACCATTACCGAGTTTATTCCTGTTTTCTTCCTTCTCTCTCTCTCTCTCTCTCTCTCTCTCTCTCTCTCTCTCTCTCTCTCTCTCTCTCTCTCTCTCTCTCTCTCTCTCTCCCCCTCCCCCTCCCCCTCCCTCCCTCCCATTCTTATTCCGCATCCGCCACGCGCCCCTGCATCATTTTATTTCGGTTGGCAAAATCAGTGCTGTTGTCTTGATAACAAGCTCGGTGTCCCATGCTGCCGGCATGCTGCCCTGCAGGCCGTCGCTCCGTCTCTCTCGCACTCGCGGCACGTCCGGCCACGGCCGGGCACGCCCTGCGAGTGCGAGAGAGACAGACGCTCCCCCCTTGACGCTTTATTTGCGGGCCGTTGTTCCGATTTCCTTTCATCTCTTTGTGCGGTGTGGATGTCTTCCTGTTTGTTTGCGCTTCCTGCACTCCCATTGTAATTATTGCCTTCATTACCATCATGATTAGCCGACCAATAAATTGGCATCGAGTGCCTTTTTTATTTTTTTTTATTTTTCTCGAGACAAAATGACGGTAATCTTGTGATCTGTTCGTGTTTGTCTATGCTCGTTGAATCGCCAGTCAAACAGGAACTGACCCCACTTTAAGCTTTTTCTTGTTGTTGTTGATGTGGTGGTGGTGGTGGTGTTACAGGTCGTTTTAAAAATCCTGTTAATTTTTCGTTTCCGTTTCCGTTTCCATGTGATGATGCTGCATACCTCACCTGCCTGCCACTCAGCGTGTCACCAAAAACGGCGGCAACCGAGAAAAAAAAAAGAAAAAAATATTCCGAATTGTGTTTGAAAAAAATAATGTTTAAAACTGGGCGCCAGGGAAATGAGCTGTTGCTGCTGTGCTCATGAATTCGTCATATTATTTGAGGGGATCGAGGGGGTGGGGGTGCAAATATGAATATGGAATATGTGAGTGTAGGAGGGGGAAGGGGGTGGGGAGTCCTATCGTCCAGCGACAGATAGGGGCATGGCGCGGGCGTGCGTTCCAGCGACTTCCCAATGCATGCAAGCACAAATACAGTGTGCACGCCACGCCCCCCGGGCCCCAGGGACTCTGGGTCTGGACGGCCTGGGCACGCCGGACTTGTGGGTCGCTGAGATAGCGGTGCTTTAGGGCCTTCTGCCTGAAATGTGGGCTAACTGGCCAACTGGAGATGGGTAGGGAGGGGAGCGAGAGAGACATGGGGGTGGCGTCGTTCGAAGCAAGGCTGGTAGCACCGCAACTGGGAGGCAATTTTTCCCTCCGAAAGGCCTACAAGAGCGTCACAATCTGCAGACCGATATCTCGAGCTGACTTCCGAGAGTCGCTTTAGTCGCGCTGTGCGTCTCTCGCACCTACGGGGCGTGCCGCGCGAGTGAGAGAGACAGAGCGACGAAAACGACTCTCGACATCAGTCTCCTGGTGCTGGTGTGTCGGGGACCAGCCAATTGTCTTCGTCCGAGCTCGTCCCACGATCGCCTAATCCACACTAGCTAGTGCACTGCTACTCTCATCGCCCCGTCTCTCTCGCACTCATGGGGCGTCCCGTAAGGGAGCGAGAGAGACGGAGACAGCGAGGAACGGAATGAGCCAATCGGCGCCGCACTGCCACGCACTGCACGGCCAAACGGCGGAGTCGTTTAATTTATTTGATGTATTTGGGGCCGGCTGTGCGGGGCAGTGCGTTGCAGTGCCTCGGACAGGGCTGCTGGCGGTGGGTGGCGGCGGCCGCGTCGCTCTGTCTCTCTCGCACCCCTACGGGCCCTGCGGGGCGGGCCGCGAGTGCGAGAGAGACAGAGCGCCCCTGTCACCCCACCGCCCGTATCACTCGCATCCACGTTCACGCCCGCCCTGCCTTAATTAATTGTTACGATGGTCCAGATTGAGTGGCTCCTCTCTCTCGCACTCGTGGGGCATTTCCAGTGTGGGTCTCTCTCGGACGGAAGGACGCCCGCGCCTTGTGGGTGCGAGACCCCCTAATCTGAACAGGGTGGCGATGGCGATCGAGGCGATCTCCGAACGAGGAATCCTTTGGTGGGGTCACACGTTCGGTTCGAGTCCTGTTTAGCGACTCTGGAGCTCAAAACGCGTCCAGAGTCTTGGCCGCCTCCACCCACTGTGAGGGAGGGGGGGGGGGGGGGAGAGACGGAGCACCCCAGCGCAGGGGGGTAGTGCCAGTGTGGGGTAGCGCGGTACCGAAATTTAAAGAGTTACCCATTCCAATAGAAGTGGTGCTGGTCAAATGTGAGGGCAATCGAAATGAAGCACTTTCAAATGCATATCAATGTTATCTATTTCATAATGTACAATAGACCAATAAAGTTAACTTACATAACATCAGTCCTCCATTCGTCTCAGAAAAATACTTATCAATATTAACATAGGTTTTAAGATTATGGCTCCACATGAGAAGGGCAGGGAGAACTACTTCAAGAACATCATTGAAAAATTGAACCACCCTTGAGATGTAGTTGCTTTGTTCTCAAAACACTCACAATGCCACATTCCATAGTTCATTTTGTGAGGAAGATCGCAAGACAATCTCAAGAGACACAACATGATTGAAGAGGAAGGGGAAATAACCAATGATTGGCCACAAGTTGAACAACCAAGGATCAATGTTGTTCCATGTCCAAGCAAAAATGTGATGGCCATAAGACAGGATTTAACTTTCCACATTTGGCCACTTTGGTTATCGTTTTCAGTCTTGTGCTAGTAAAATCAGCATTTAAATTGTCCTAATAGTTAAAATTATCATGAACCTCTCAAAAATATAAAATACGATATTAAGAGTAGGAGACCTTGTGTAAGGTCGGTATGGTGTTATAGCAATAATTATCCCTAGTCAACGTCCTTATTGTAATGTTACAGAAATATAGTTTCATCCAAAACACAATAAATCTTTGCAAAGCAGTTACAAAAGGAAATTGTGAGTTTGAGGTACTGGTATCAGATTGGAGGAAAAAAAAAAATTACAGATGGAGATACATACAAATATGTAACAATCCAGAATCAAAATAAAATCATTTTAAAAACAGTTGACTTAGTTGATGTAGTATTTTTAAAAAACCGATAGCTGTTTTAATGGTTGCCAATGATAGCAAAAAAGCATTGGTTTGCATACAATTCAAGATTAAGATTAAAAGGTTAAATCTGCTTGTTGTGTAGGCTGAGCAAAATTCATGGAAAATTAAGAGAAGTCCACTTTATAAAATGTTATGAGCATTTCACAGTGTTTCCCAAAATACAATAATATCAAAAGACTATCCACTGGTATGGAAGGGAGTTACCAAAACACAAGGGCAAGCATTGGAGAAAAATTACGTACTAAATAAAACAACAAGTACGTAGATAAATAGCTAGGCTCTTTCATCACACCTATCCAAAGATGTTTCTGTAAGAAGGCAACCAATACCTTCAATGTACCAAGTTCGGCCTTATCTACTCTGTTTACGAGATAAATAATGAAGTAACCTTCATCAACAAGAGAATTAAAATAAATTAATTAAGGCCACACATTAACAAGAATTTGTTCTTGAAGCAGCACCAACAACAGGGAGGAATATGAATAAATGAGTATTAAGATGCAAAAGCCGAGGCACAAGGTTGCAAAATTTCAATATCTGCTGTTAACACAGACAAAGTGAAGTGCCAGAAACTGTATCACAAAGCAGGATTAATGCTTTAAAAATGTGGTGAAATCTAACAGGTATTTGTGCTTTAGTAAAAGACATGACCTTAAGCACAAACACACAAGATGCCACCAAAGTTTGCCACAGCATTCTTTACAGTGATATATGAAATCTTGAAGTTCACAAGAAAATACCAATTACAAAAACAGAACTGAAAACAAAATTGTTTCATCAAAATATACTTTATGTGGTATTAATTCTGATATGTCTTAGAAATGACCTTACTAATAAATTGAAGTACTTAGGATCCTAGTTTGTATGGGGTCTCACCACATGCTTACAAGAAAACAGAACTAAAGCCTCACTTACACATTTGACTGTACAAAACCCCTCTCTCAGAAAGTACTGTATATGTTCCTAAGTTGCTAGTGTTACTGTACTTTCAATGCAGGAGTGACATAATATATTTACAGCCTTGGACCAAAGTGTTTTCAAAGGTAAATCCACAATCACAGCACTAAAAGCTATCATCCTAAACAAGTATTGCCTCCAAAAAATCTGTCATGAAGTCTGTAACTCAGATCACACTTCAACAAATATTAAGAGATAAGGATACACATGTTTGTACTTTATACACTACATACATTACTACAGGTGAAACACCTTCAGACACATTAACTATCTAGTGTTGTGTGTCACAGAACAAAAATACATTTCCATAGAAATTAAGTGACCTATAACAGAGGTAATTCATACTTCGGGTTTGATGCACAGCAGAATAAGGAATTCATTGTTGGTTTACAAATTAACATCTAAATCATGGCAGTGATTACATAATATTTGATGCATATAAATTGGAACAGAGAAAAACATAATTGAATTCATTAATTACAGGCACCAACGCTGTATAAAATTTTCTGGTCACAGTATTACAAGAAAACATAGTAGTCTTGACAAAATGATGCACAAATGCTGCACCAAGAACAGTATTTTGGCAGGACAAACAGCTAAAAGTAAATTGCTCAGAAAAATATTCCCCACGACAGGTCACTTCTCCATGAATACATGCATTTTTCTAGGATACACAGAATTGGTAAATGATTCATTCAAGATGGAGTCTTTGTGAAAAGAAATAAAAGCAAATATCTTAAGACCCAACATAAATTTAAACCAATAATTTTCCTCAAAATCAACAAAAACATACATATTCTCAAAATTATAGCAGCTCTGTACAATATTCACAATTCATCGGACTACCATTATGTACAATTTGCGAATGAGGATCACGGTGGTAACATGAAGGGTCGAAGATAGCCGTGCAAAGACATTGTCATTGCCTTTTGCAGTCGGACTTCAGAAATATCACAGAGAAAACGAAGTAACGGAGATAGTTCACAGTTGATACTGGGCATTGTCACAAAAATTGCCAGGTGATGTTAAGAGTCATCTACATGTAATAACTTGTAGGCAGGACATAGACAAGCTGACTGGTCTGCGCCGAGCCCGAGTGCGAGCGGTGGTGGGAGTCCATGGTGTCCCTATCGCTGGCATACTGCAGGCCAGCATCCGTCGAGTGGGCACTCAGACTTATTGTGGTAGCGCCCTGGCTGCTGGGGTCATCAGGCAAGATCTCCATCGCTCCTTCAGAATCAGTCTTCATCTGTAACCACAGACAATGAACATAAGTAAACTACTACTCAAATGTAATCAAGTCAGGGCACAAAAGAAGTGGATGAGATTTTCTGACTGAAGAGGAGGCACGCTTGACATAAGGAGATGCAAGTTTTCTTAACATACCACGGTAATTGTTGTAGCGTTATCCAGCTCATGGATATGAAGATTTTGATGCATGTGGTCTTGCGAATCTGGTGCATCAACTTCAGCTTCATCAACTTCTTCCACCTGTTTGTTGGCACGATTGGCATTAGCTCCACCTGAGAGACGCTGCCTCTCTCGATTGTGAGTGTTGAGGTGCCGTTTCATGTCAGAACGCACTCTGAAGGGTTTGTCACATATTTCACAACGATGTGGTTTTTCACCTGATGAAAGAAATGAAAGCCAATTAATTGATATGATCTCCTTGTTCAACACCAAAAGGGGACAAGGAAGCTAAGACAAATACCTGTATGTATCCTACGATGATTCTGAAGATATGAAGAAGCTCTGAACTTCTTCTGACAAAATTCGCAGACATAGTCTTTTTCACCTGTGTGAATACGACGGTGAACAATGAGTGAGTACTTCCGAGCAAAGTCTTTTCCACAGTATTCACACTGATACTGCTTCTCTTCAGAATGGCGAGATGTGCAGTGATATTTAAGATCTCCCCATTGGCGGAAGTTTCGGCCACAAAATTCACATTTGTAAGGTTTATCACCAGAATGTAAACGCATGTGGACCTGCAAAGTGTCCAGAAATAAAATTAGGCAACTAGTTCAAGCACTGACAGAGAAATAAAATAGGATTGCAATTGTACACACCTTAAGAGCGCTAGTTGCAAAGAAGCTTTTCCCACATTCTTCACATTGATGAGGACGTTCTCCTGAATGACTTCTTAGATGGTACACCAGAGAATTACGATGGTTGAAAACTCTGTCACATTGGTTACAAGCCAAACGGCGCAGCTTTTTGCCTTTGGGATAGTCGTCATCATCTTCAATAGCTTTATCTTTCCCTTTTTGCCGAAGCTCCATGTGCTCCACTCTGTAAAGTAAATGCAGTTCATTTGATTGCCATCATGGAACAAAGGGGAAGAAGAAGGCTTAAAAAGTAAGCTCCATTACCTGAGATGTTGGTTGAGCCTCGCTTTGGAATGGAAAGCATCACCACACAAGTCACACATGTGAGCAACCTCTAACTGAGTAGCTGCTTGCTGTTGATGAGAATTTCCTTCATGCTGAATGTGTCCCTGATTGCGTTGTTCGTTTTCAGCATGCTGAAGCGCTTGCAAATCTGCTTCTGTGGCTGAAATATCGTCATCGCGATACCAAGAGTCGGAGTGTGATTTATCTACTGAGTCAGCACTATGAGTTGTCAGTGTTGTCAGGCGAACCATGGATTGGGAATCTTCATCAGAACCTTCTCCTGCTTCCACAACTTCACGAATCCCCTCCATCATGTCTTCAGGGTCACTAAATTGTTCGATGTCTTCCTACAAAGTTAAAAATAATACACATTTAAAAAAAAAATATGCACAAAGCAAGTCTGACATTTATGCGATTGAACAGCCCAGGGCACTCTTACCTGTTTAGGATGAGCAATACTCAGGTGAGTTTCTAGAGTTTTTTGGCGCCGGAAATTTTTTCCACACAAATGGCAACTTAAGTTAAGAGATCCTGTGATGGTAGAGACCGGAGGAAGGATAGGAACTAATGGTGGCGGATCAGAATTTAACACAGACTGCTGTAAGGAACTTTGAGACTGGTGGGTGGTGCTTTGGCGACTTGTCTGAGATGAGTGGTGGGGAGTTCGCTGGTGATGCTGAATGGTCTGGAGATTCTCCTGTTCATTCTTCACAGATCTCATTCGGCCGTTCTGAAGCTGAGGCATTTGGACAAGATGCTGCTGCTGCTGCATGGAGATGTGGGGCTTTTCGCTCTCCACCTTGAGCACCATGGTTTGCATGTCGACTTGATGTTCCTCTTCCATAGGTTCTTCATGGTGGCGTCGAACTTGATGAGACAAAAGACGCGGTACATGCCTCTGAATATGCTGCTGAGGGACTTGGTGATGGTTCGGAGACTGTGAGGCTTCCTGCTCAGGCACTGCGTGCAAATTGTGTTGCTGTAACTGCTCCTGTTTCGGATGATGCTGATGCTGTACAATATGTTGATGTCCACGATGTGTGTTGTCCTTCAAAACGGTATTCTCATTCTGAAACAAAGCACAAGATTAGAAAGAAAAATATAATTTGAAATGAAAATGCTGACCAATATAAGATGAGAATCCTCACCACATTGCCATCAGCTAATTTCTCGTGTGCTGACCCATTTTCCATACTTACAAGCCCATTTGCAGAACTAGACGGATCAATTACAAGTACCCCTGATCCAGGCTCATAATGGGCTTTTAAGTGCTCAAAAAATTTCAGTTGATTAGCTAGCATTTTGCCACATATCTCACAAGAAAATGATAAACTCTTTTTGCTTGATACATTATGGGTAACTCTATGAGCTGCATAAGCTGCCTGCGTAGGAAATTGTTCTGCACATTTGTTACACTTGAAGCTCTTTGCATTGACACTGAAAAATAACCACAAAATTTTAGAGCAAAATCATGTAAAAGCTAGCTTAATTTGCAGGACAAATTGAACAAACAGCTCATACCTCTTGGGCAAAGGTTGAGGCTGAGGTTTCCGAGGATTTCTCAGCTTCTTTGAGAGTCTTTTTTTGTGGGGGAGGCTTCTTCTGGAAGTTCTCATGTCACCTTCCCCGTCATAATCAGAATCTTCCACTCCATCATCAACAGCAGCATCGCCGTCACTGCCTTCAGCAACGCCATCCACAGACCCATCCAAACCTTCAACTTCCTCCACCATAGACTCAGCCAGGTCAATTTCTTCATGTTTCACTGTAAGTCCTGTGGACAACAAAGATAAAATATAATCACAACAGCACATAGAAACATTAAGTCAATTCAAGTTTATCTACCAAATTGTAAGTACCTTGATGATCTTGAATTTCTACTATTGTTGCAGTGTCCCTCGAGTCATGATCTGTAGTCTCTGGTTCACAGGATCCTGCTGGGTCCACTGGAAGCAAGAGGGGCACAATTTAAGTCCAGACAGGTGGAGTCTTGGGAAGCATACATAGATAAAAACCAGACTAAAATGTCACTTACATGTTGTCCATCCCTCAGGTCCTTGAAGAAGAACCCGCTGACCTGGTGTGGGAACCACAACTCCTAGCTCTGCTTGAGCATTCTGATCTAGAACAACATGAATAAGTTGTTCTTGCACCAACATCTGGTGCTCGGGTGATTCTTCATCTAATAGCCTCTCAGCCACATCCATTTCAGTCTGAGTTTGAACTTGTGCTGGATGCGTAATCAGTCTTTGGCCAGACATAGTTGTGACTACACTTGCCTCCTGATGAGTTATATACCGTGTAGTATGATCTGTCTGGACGTCCATTAGTCGATGGCCATTTATACTAGTTGCTATCCTGTGACCGCCAGTGGAAGTTGCCAAGCTGTGGAACAAAGTCCAAATTAAAATATAGACAAAAAAGCAAAAAAAGAAAAAAAAAAACACTGGTATCCAAGAAGAAATAAAACAAATTTGAAAGACATCATACTTGTGAGACATAGATGAATCATGAGTAACCAGAATTCTTTGGTTGTCATGAGTGATTATACGATGTTGGTTTACAGATTCTTGGAGTATCTTCTGAGTAATAGGGTCTTCAACCAAAATAGTGTGCCCTTCAGCATCTGTTGTGGCCAATAACCTATGCCCTTCAACTGCATCTTCATGAACTATATGTTGCCCTACAATAACATTTGTTCCATCAAGAGTATGGTGTGTTGTCATAGGAGTCAGTGTAACTTCCTCATCAAGAGCATGATGAGGTTGATGTCTCAAATAGCGGCTACGTATAGTTGAATTAGGTAACGCCTGCAAAAATGATAAATTGTTAAGGTTTTCAAAAACCAGTGATGACAACAGCTAAGCTCAGAATTTGAACCAGTACAGGAAAGCAAAAGGTTAGATCTGTCAATAAAATCATGAATTTTAGAACAAACCTTCTTCAAAGGTGGTAAAGAGGACAAGGAGGGCAGTCTTTGCTGTTGAAACATCTTAACACTTCTATCACTGGAGTCAATTATTATCTGGTGAGTACCCGTAATGTCACCTGTGGTTTGAATATAGGCTGACAACATGGCTGCTATTTCACCCTTTTCTCCAACCACAGTGACAGGGGCTGTCAAATTCTGAGGCTCTTCAACCACTGCCTGCTGAACAATAGAAAACAGATGGAGTTAAGACCAACATAAAAGTTTTACAAACTTCAATCTTCCAGGGGTAAAATCAGTTACATACCAATTCAACAAGTTGTCGGTCAGCATCACCCAAGTCATGTTCTTGCAATATGTGATGTTCATAGTACTCTGTCCCACCATGAGTTGTAAATTCCTCCACCTATAAAAACAGAAACATAGCAGTTATGATGAGATACAACTACAATAAGGCACAAAGTTAGAAATTGGGAAAAGCAGGATCAGCCTATCTTGAAAAACTTCTCTACATACCATCTGAGGATGCATGTGACCTTGCATGAGGTCTGTTGTGAGAAGAGTCCCGCCAGGTGAGCCTCCAGAGACACGATGAATGTCAATACAGGGTTGCTGCATGTACTCCTCCCTCATGGTGCCTCGAAGTTTTTCCCCGTGAGGAGTCACCATCTCAACTCCTTCAATCAGTTCGACGGAGCCTTGTGAGCTCTCATCCATGTTGGACAGCAGAGAGAGTCCACTGCTCTTGTGAGGCTGCAAGCAAGAAAAGATGTCAAGTTTGAAAAACACAGTCGCCAGCAAATAATAAAAATCTTCAAGCGGAAATGCCAAGCTGGAGGATAGGTAACAGTTGGATTAATAGCCAAGTTGTTCAAGAAAGGGTGACAACATATGAGAACTATTCAGAAAATTTAGAATAATGTAATCAAGGTTAGGAAGAAATAAAGGAAACGAGATTCATTGCAGGGATGATGGAATTCTGTCCAGCAAATATTCAACCATCAAGGGAACAGAGACTAGATTGGCTAAAATGTTGGAGAGTCTGTTAAAGATAAACAAACACAGAAGCAGGCTAATAACAATTTTCATTTCCAAGTTGATGCTGAACTCTGTAGGCTCTAGACCAATCAACTCAGATCCTAATATTACTATAATCGTTCAATAAAATACTTAACGGTCCAAATAGTTTACTAAAGTGTAAAATCAAACTTCGAGTAGAGAGAAAGAACGCCGTGACAACAGAGACATAACCTCAACCGCGCGTTCTTCGCTCTACACCGCTGTAAACAAAATGCCCTAACAGGAAAAAATGCCAGATTGAACGAATACTTCGCGACTGCCGAAATTAGCAAGCACCATCGGGGAAAAGCCTAAATAGCAATTAACTGGGAAATTGATCATTTGCAAACATTGGCGAGGTACGGGAAATGGGAAATAAAAAATTTAATAATGCTTCAGGAGGCATTAGCAAGGTCACTCTTTGTGTAAGGAGCAATGGACGATATTAAGCACAAAATGCTTGCCGGTGTCAGTTTTGAAAACACACTTGGATCGCAGCATTCGTGTTTGTGACAAGATGAATGAGTCTTCGGCGTTGCTTCAAAAGTACGTACACAAATAATTTCGCTAAAACATCGCACCACTGTAACAAATGTGACAACAGTGTTTGCCACAGGGAACCGGAAACAAACTTGCGTTGAGGGTATGCTCCTTAAGCCGCTCTGAGGCGCACTGGTCTCGCGCTGAAAATGGACTTTACGGGTGATTTTGCGCTGCCACTGAGGGCTGCAGTCAACAAAAGTAATCTAGTTTTGATTTTCTGGGGGTAAGTTTCTACGCGATGAAGGATACGAGGCACTGTGGGTGCTTTCGGGCAGAGACCAGAACTGACCGCACATGCGGTAGCGGAACACACTCACGCACGCTGGAAATCGCGGGAAGTTCGAAACGTGGCGCTCTCGTGGCGCCGACTCTCTCCCGTCGTTTCAAAGTGTTCCGGTTTCCCTTTCAGTTTCGCCAAATGTCT